CACTTTCTTTCCAGCGCTACTTACACAAGTTCCAATTTGTCTCTCTTCTGCCTCCATCCATCTTGTTTCTCTACAGTAATGTTGTATTCTGTCACTATTTTTTTATATATTTGTAAAACATAGTCTACATAGAAATCCAGTGGTGGAAGGAGTACTCAGTAAGTAACTTAATTAAAAGTAGCAATACCAGAGTGTACTCAAAGTTAGTCAAGTGTTTTTAGTAAAAGTACCAACATCTTAAGGACTTTTATATCCTATCCTAAAACTCTTATTTTCCAAATAACACATTTCTATGTTGAAGCTTTACTTTTAAACCAACATAAAAGAAAAGCCTTCAACAAAATAAAAATAAATAAAATGTTGTATTTTTAATTGCATAACAAACAGTCATGTGAGCAAAAGCTCCAGATCAGCCACTTAATGGACCTTGTGGCCTTTTTTTCTTGTACAATAATAAACATTTATGGTTCCCCACATTCGTAGAAAAGCTCCTGCTGCTGCAGAGGAGAACAAACTAATGTATTATTCAGCACGTCCGCCTGCTTCAACCTTTACATGAGCACAGCAGGTGACATTTAAATGAATGTGAAGTGATAAATGCTTTGTTCAAATATTCAAACAAGACATTTATGGATAATTTGACTTTTAATAAGAGCTCTGACTGCTTTTCGCCACCTTGGAAGGAATAATGTATGTTAATATAAGTCAGATATAACCACCAAAAAAAGCAAAGACTTAATAGAACTTTGATTTTCATATTTAATTAAAACATTTTTTATATATTCATGTTTTATTACATTACATGTTACTTGTTAGACTCTTTTATCCAAAGCGACTTACATACTCAGTACTGTGGGCAATCCCCACAGGAGCAATTTGGGGTGAAGTGTCTTGCCCAGGGACACAACGACATGCAGTGGGGTTTGAACCTGTGCTCCCCCTGATCCGAACACCAACGCACTAGCCCACTGCGCCAAAGCTGGGGAACAATAGTCTTGCAAGGGGGGGGAAGAAAGGAGAAGAAGGGGGAAGAGGGAGAAAGAGAGGAAAAAGAGGAGAAAAAACGATTCTCTTGCTCCCTGTTTCCCTTCTGCATGTAAAAGTATTTATATACAGAAGTACTTTAATAAAGACCAACAACGTATGCGTTTGTTGACTAATAACACTTGTGTTATGCAGTTAACTATTAACACATTTCTATTAAATATTATATATTTCTAATACATATTAAGTAAAACGTATCTACTTCTTTCAAGTTTATTACATACAATTATTATTATTTTCTTTATCAGGGATAGTTTTGAAGTACCCAATATTGACCTGCTCATGGTTTGTGTGCTGTGGACAAATACTTAAATGTAACCATTACATTTAATATGAACTAAGAAGGTATTGGTGTTATAATGTATTTCTTTTAACAAACAAAGAGAAAACCTATAGAAATTCTAAACATAGCACTCCACTCAATTATTGGACAGTCACGTACTTGATAGAACCAAACCTTTATTTTAAAGTAGTTCAACTTAATAAAATGTAAAACAACCCATACAAGTAAGTAAGGTGCAGTATAACAAAATAACACTCTAAATGGGTTTTAACATTAAATAAACATTATCATAAACTTAATAAAATATATACATATCATATATATAAATAAATATCAAACTATACACCGAACTAAGTGTCCAGTGTCCATGCCTCTGGTGGGGGGATATACATTTTGTTATGTCCTCCAACCATTGCTCCTTTGGCACAATGTAGTTCACTACTCCCTGCACTGGCTGTGTCCAGTGTCCGCTGTCCCAAAGCTCCCACACCTCCACACGTGTTGGGCAGTACTTTGCGGGTTAGTGTTTGGCTGTATGGAGCAGGAGCAGGACTAGGAGCAGGAAAAGCAGAGAGAGGCTGGCATTCAGAGCCTGTGGAGCAGTGACCAGGACAGGAACCTGTGAGCTCACTGGAGTAAATATCATGGAGCCCAAAGGTGGAGCAGGGAAGAGCTGCATCTCCACCTGAGGGCCAGAGGGTGGAGCAGGGAAGAGCTGCAACACCACCTGAGGGGCCAGAGGGTGAAGGGGTGGAGCAGGGAAGAGCTGCATCTCCACCTGAGGGCCAGAGGGTGGAGCAGGGAAGAGCTGCAACACCACCTGAGGGCCAGAGGGTGGAGCAGGGAAGAGCTGCAACACCACCTGAGGGCCAGAGGGTGGAGCAGGGAAGAGCTGCAACACCACCTGAGGGCCTGAGGGTGGAGCAGGGAAGAGCTGCAAACACCACCTGAGGGCCTGAGGGTGGCGCAGGGAAGAGCTGCTCTCCACCTGAGGGCCAGAGGGTGGAGCAGGGAAGAGCTGCAACACCACCTGAGGGCCTGAGGGTGGAGCAGGAAGAGCTGCACACCACCTGAGGGCCTGAGGGTGGAGCAGGGAAGAGCTCATCTCCACCTGAGGGCCAGAGGGGTGGAGCAGGGAAGAGCTGCATCTCCACCTTGCTTTGATGCTTTGTGATCTGGAATGTGACAACAGCGAAGTTGAGGCATTTATTAGAAATGATCTATAGCAGTTAATGTTTCCAGATTTATAACCGAACACATTTATAATAAAAACTAGTTTGTAATGTTATTGTTTATAAGAGAGTTTAACAAACACGGAAACAAATACAGTCACGTTATGTTTGACCTTTTTGGTTGAGTCCATCTTTAAGATGGAACCAAATGTGGAGGTGATGCTGGCCTTGATATGGTCCATGTGGGAGAGGATATCCCTGCCGTACATGGACAGCACCCAGAGACTGCTTGGGAGGAGGCTGGGCTCTGGGGGCTCCTGGCAGGCCACAGGGAGGAGGCTGGGCTCTGGGGGTAACTACTGGGGGTGTGATATAAAATGTATGCATGAGGCATTTCTTAATCTGAAACTATCATCATTATGTTTTAGTCTGGAGTGAGTCACTCAGTGTAAATCCTTTGATTGATAATATTTGCACCAGTAAATTGTAAATGTTCAGTAATATACTTATCATATGTGAATAATAAGTAATAGGTACATATGTTTCTATACTTTACCTTCTGACAGAGGTCACGTCACTTCCGTTTCCTTGGAGCGGGTTTATCCCTCCTGAAGGCCAAAGCCTGTCCATTCTGCATCTCCCATTTCGTTATGGCTTATAGGTTTAGTGATCATCTAAACTTTAAGTAAAATAACAATGCAAGTGTTAGAGAGAACTACACTGCAAAGCGAACAACACTGATACCATGTTAACCATTATTTACACAGGTTATCTACACATATAATCATGTATAAACACACATCATGTTCATAAACGGTGAAGTTGTCCTGTTATCCATATATGATTGATGTGTGTATATTGAATTACAATTAATGTAATGTTATATACATTATATAGCTATCTTGAATATATATTCAACAATATACTGTATCCTTCCTGGAGCATATAACACACTTTATCATATCATAGTGAGCAACGATCCCTTATCTCACATAAAGATATTTATATCATATAATATATGATATACTTTACTTTACTTTATGAACAAATAAACTGAAAAACATAAACTCATAAAACGCCACCAGTAACCAATAGGCATCTTAACCAAATCTGTAAAGTAACTAAAGGTAAGCTATTAAACACATGTAGTGGAGTAAAAGTACACCATTTGCCTCTGAATTGTAGTGAAGTAGAAGAGTACACAGTAGAAAAATATGGAAACACTCAAGTGAAGTACAAGTATCTCAAAATACAGTACTTGAGTAAATGTTCTTAGCTACTTCCCACCTCTGTGTATACAGTATATATACTGTATGACTTCTGTACCACTGCTCACAGAAGTGTAATTACAACATGCCCATTCATACAAGAGTCGTTTAACAACTTATTTAAATTACTGTTGTCAATCGGATGTATAACACATGGCTGTTGACATTGATTAATATAATAACGTGTATTTAACCTAGACACGATAGCATTAGCAATGCTGGCTTGCTAACTTTATGCAGACTGAAGTTGCCGACCGTAATGTAAAAGTTGACGCCAAAACGACGGTTGTAAAAATTGATTTTATGACTGAAAACGGGAAAATATAAACAATAGTATTGTTACTTACCTCTGATGCGCCTCGCGATTTGTCCACTGTCAACCAAAAGCGTGAGGGGGGGCGGGTTCGGGTAGAAGCAGTGCCGTGAGTGGCTCTGTCCATTGTGAACTCGCGTCGTGATTGGTTTAGGTCCAATGGACAGCGAGTATCATGATTGGGTGATAGATTGGATTTTGACAGACGGCTTACTTTTATATTTGTTTATATTAAATTGTACAATTGTTACATTTCCTGATTTACCACACTGTATCTTTCAAAATCTGAAAATCTTTTTCAATCATCATTTACCTTTTTGTAATGATTTAGAAAATAATTAAAATACGACTTTGCGAAACAATTTTAAGCTAATTTTCAGGTTCATATTTGTATTTTGTGCCTCTACTGTGACATGTTTACATGCTGTTCAAAGGATAGAATCGAGAGTGTTACATAGTGATGTCACTACGTTACAGAAGTAATCAAAAAAGGTCAATGGAAGCGTTTCAGGCAGGGGGGGGAATGAGAGAAACTCCCTCTGGAGGGGACTTTGGGATTTTAGCCTCTGTTGACCATTAACATGCACAAGAACCTTTAACACACTACAGGAAAGGGAAAACCCAGAATATCATGCATTTATTTTGTGCTCCATTTCCATTAACAGTTGGCAGAGGTCAGCGTGACTGGGTGTGTTTGTATGTACTTCATGTCTTCAAATAATATCCTATTTGACTCGGTAAACTATCAGAGAGGAACCACAGCCACACACATTTAAATATGTAATCGTATTTTCCTGCTGTATAACTCTCTCTCTCTCTCTCTCTCTCTCTCTCTCTCTCTCTCTCTCTCTCTCTCTCTCTCTCTCTCTCTCGCACACACACATTCCTGGTTTCACTATCATCCCCCCCCCCCCCCACAGTGATCTGAAGCAGGAGCTGGATGAGGAGGGCAGTCGCTGCCTCCTGCTCTCACGGCAGAGCTGCTTCAACCAGCGCTGCTGCATCCGCTGCTGCTCGCCCTTCAACTTCCTCCTCAACCCCAAGCGCCCTTGCCTCGACTGCCACTTCAACGTCTGCAAGGCCTGCCGCGTCTACAGCAAGCGAGACAAAACCTGGCTCTGCTCCGCCTGCCAGAAGAGCAGGTAGGTCGGGTGGTGAAGTAGTGTTAGTGTCTTAATATAAATAGAAGTAGTGCAAGTGTTGGTGGTGTTATTGTTGGTAAATGTTGACTGCATTTATATAGGTATTTTACCAGTCTTTACAACCCCTCAGTCAGCATTCACACACCAGAGGCTGCCTTACAAGGGGCATCATGATTGAGGAAACTAGGATTCACACACACTCACACACTGTTGGCCATGTCATCAGGACAAACTTGGGGTTAAGTATTTTGCCCATGGCGACTTGACGGCTGGGGCTGAGATCGAACCCCCCTCCTTCTGATTGGTAGACGACCACTCTACCACAGTCGCCCCTGTGGTGTAAGTGTTAGTAGTTGTAGTGGGTTTTATTTTAGTCTGACGGCCCGTCCACACAGCGGCGTGCGTTGACGCTTGCCGGCGGGCGTGTCTGAAACTCGACCAACAACCAATCACATGAATCTCCCGCCCCTGACACACAAGCAGCGGTTTGATTGGCTAAAGCTTGTACTGGCATATGATTCGATTGGCTGACGCTTCTGCCGAGGCTTCAAAAGTTGAACATTGCTCAACTTTTGCCGCGAGCCACGCCAGCAAAGCTCCGCGTCGCTTCCCACAATGCAGTTCGGCAAAAAGTGACGTCACCCCATTCAAAGTGAATGGTGAAGCTTTCAACGCACGCCGCTGTGTGGACGGGCCGTTAGTGTTAGACGTGATAGTGTTGGTGGAGTTTCTGCACATGGTTTGTGCGTACATGAGACTAGATTAAGGATGAGAGGGTGACGTCAAAGGTTATTGTGCTATTTCTGCTGCTGGAGAGATGGATTTGGCACTTATTACTCACTAAGATAGAGAGCAAGATAAAGTTGGTCACTGGCTAAACTCCGTATAAATGCAAAAGTAACTTGATCGACAGGAAAATATTAATACATTATTGGAAAATGTATTAATTGTTAGGAATTCTTCATGCAAAAAATGCATGCAATGGAGAATCTCAGTTGTCCTCTTAATGATGAAGACAGATTTGTAAGGAGCGATGGCAGTCGAACCTCAGTTTTCTACACTTTACTGTTCTGTTTTAATGAGATGACAACCACAGACTGCAGGAGTTACCCAAAGGTGTTTCACCCTTGGACACTTCCTGTCACATCCTGTCCACACACTCACTGTCCACACACTCCGTCAGCTCACACACACAAAGTCATCCGCACAAGGAACAGATGGTAACTCATTAAACGTGCTGACATGAATATCTCTGCAGTACCCTACAGCTGTCATTCCTCATCATTCAATTATATCCCTGTTAATATTAAAGTAACACTTGAAGATGAGACGAACATACATTAGTCTGCTCATGCACAGAATGATATGTCGTTGGAATATTGACATTGAGGTATTTTGTCAAAAATATTGTGATATTTGATATATTCCATATCGCCCAGTCCTAATACGGTCACACAAATTACCAATAAAGCAACATATTTTGACACCTATTACTGTGGTTTAATTCACTGAGGGTGCTGTACAGGTGAGAAGATGTATTAAACATCTTTTGAAAGGATTAGAATGATATACATTGAGTGTATTTGAACTTCCTGTCTGTGTCTCTCAGGTTGTTGAAGACACAGTCACTGGAGTGGTTCTACACTAATGTGAAGACGCGCTTCAAGAGGTTCGGCAGCGCCAAAGTGCTGAAGACTCTTTACAGGAAGCACCTGGTGGAGCACAGCGCCCTTTCAGAGTTTACAGGTAAACCAATCTGTTTATTTGTGTTGTGGATAAAAACTGTTGCGGTCAACTTTGATGATATGAATTAATTTGTGGTATGTGACGCATTTTGAAAGGGTTCATATATCCTGAATCTGACCCCTTCTGATCTTTTCTACGAGTGTAATCCCACATTGAAAATGTTTAAACGGATTACTGTAGAGAGAATCTACCCTTATGAGAAGTGATAATGTGTTTTCTATAAGGTTGTATGTACAGGTTGTGTATACCAGTATATGCCTGATTTATTTTGTGTGTGTATACATCCATGTGTTTGATATCTCAAAGCAGTGTAGAACAAGAAGTTGGGAGGAGAGGAAATAGGATTAAGCTCTTGCTTGACTTTTATCGTGCATAACTTCTGCAGATTATTATTTCTGCTGCCAGTTCCCAAGTCTCTTTTTAAATGTTGTTGGCTTCCTATTTCCTTGGTGGAGGAAATGCAAATAATAATACTACCACTACAGTACGGTATGAAACAATAAGTGTAGTATAATATATGAAGATATCTAAAAAAAATAGCAAAGCACATAAATAAATCAGTCCAACGGAGTCAGAGAAGAGCTTTGTTGGAGCCACCCAACCCTGAAAATGCTCTGGTGGTGCTACAGTGTCGTAAATAACACCATTCACCAGGCAGCACATGCTCCTCCAACATGAATGGTCAGAGCGGTGAGGAGTGCATCTGCAGGCCTTTACTTCAGAGTCTCTGATCTGCTGCAACAGACGAGGGATTTCAGAGAATTATGAGTGATTGTGGAGGAGAGGTCGCGGCTGCAGAGGATGCAGAGCTGTGACCCCGTGGGAGGAGGACTGATGTGGGCTGGCATCAGGCCACCGCTCAGCGTCTCCTTCTGGTTTACTGTTTTCATTCTCCGCTCACAAACACACACTGTATCATACATTTGAATTTGTTTACGACTGACCTGCAAAGCACAGTTTTCATCCAGCTGCCAAATGTGCACCTGCATAGTCTGACTCATGGAAAACTGACCTTACTTTGCATAAAAACAATATGAGCTGCATGAAAAGCATCAGAATCAAATCAAATCAAATCAAATTTTATTTCTATAGCACATTTAAAAACGATTTTCGGTCGAGCCAAAGTGCTGCACATGCAGATAATAAATAACACATTCCTACCGATGTAAACAGAAGACAATAAATTACAACATCAAATATAAAAATCAAACACAGGGAAGTGTCATGAGTCGTGCTCTGCTCTGATTAGAAGGCCAGGGTGAAGAAGTGAGTTTTTAGTTTGGATTTAAAAACCCCTAGGGTCTGGGCCGACCTCACATGGAGGGGCAGAGTGTTCCAGAGCCTAGGGCCAGCCGCCGCGAATGAATAGAGCTGACATTTAGGGAAATAGCTGTGGGTAGAGCATCATCATGTTGGATTTCAACCCAGTCTCACGGCATTTCGTGTTATAGTCACAAAATTAATTTAATCTATTGATTTGTGTTCACCAACACGATTTTCGCATTTTTTTCGTGTCACACAGAACGATTTTAAAAGCAATGTATTTCTATTGGTAGTATGTTTCGTGCCTGCACCACGTCTTTTTGTCCGGTCACGTCTTGGAAGACCAGAAGCTGTGTGGTTCATAAAAACATGTTCTTACTCACCCTTACCTTAAGCCTAACCCTTTTATTTTAAATTGTATAATTTTGTTGCCGTCAGTGAGGAAAAGAAATGGGGCTCAGAGCCTCAGAATACTGAAATCTGTATTTAAAAAAATAAATAAAAAATGTTCCTTCTAATTTGTTATTATTTGGTGCAGGCACAAAACATACTACCAATAGAAATACATTGCTTCTAAAATCGTTCTGTATCAGAATACTGAAATCTGTATTTTTTTTAATCTGTTTTTCCTTCTAATTTGTTATTATTTACATTGCTTTTAAAATCGTTCTGTGTGACACGAAAAAAAATGGCGAAATCGTGTTGGTGAACACAAATCAATAGATTCATTTTGTGACTATAACACGAAATGCCGTGAGACTGTGTTGTAGATTTGTGTTGCAGTGAAACATTTCCTCCACACTGCCACAGCCCCGAACACAGCTCAGAGACATCCTCCTCTAAAGAGTGGGATGAATAACAAAGTGACCCTGAGGAAGAGACACGTACAGAACAGACAGTCGAACATTACTTAGTGCTTATTAGGGCCCGAGCACGAGAGTGCTAGGACCCCAACGGCGTCCTAGCACGAAGTGCGAGGATCCCTATTGTTATTCGTGGAATTATTATTATTTTTCATCTGCTGGCGTTTCCTGTTTTTGAGGCCTTTAGGATGCTGACAAAGTTGTATAATTTTGCACGGATTCCAGAACCGGTGAAAAATACAATATTCTGGAGTCAATGGGTTAAAATATTCCAACTTGCTCGCTAGCGCCACCTATCTCAATTCCATTTCGGAAAAATTCACAAAGTCGCACCGTAACTCCGAATGACCTGAAATTTTGCACACATATCCGGGTGGACCTGCTCTACAAATAATCTAATTGGAACCCTAAGCTCCGCCTACATATTTTTTTTTTTAATTGGCAAATTTACATAAACAGTTAAATATTCACTTAAATTTCAATTTTCAGTTTTTCAACACCAAACTTCGTATATAGTATCGGTGGAGGGTCAGACACATTACCCTAGGAGATGAACATGTTCAAATGATAATTATTTCCGCCATTAATTAAAACGTACTCGCAAAAAGGCGGGGCTTATAAAGAAATGCTCATAACTCGTCACCAATGTATCCATTCACCACAGATTTTGGTGGAAAGGTTTAATCTGTCTTGGGAAATAGGCATACCAAATAATTTTAAATTAGGACAATAGGGGGCGCCAAAAATACCACAAATGTATAACTCAAGAGCGGATGTACGAATTATTATTTTATTTTTTTACACATACTCTCGGGGTGACTACAAACTCAGATTTAAAGTGTCGCAACAAATTCAGAATGTGGGCGTGGCCTATACATTTTTTTTAAATTGCGATAGCATAAAATGAGCTTCGGACGCAAAACTTGGGTCACATGTCAGAGCCCACGACCTTTTCGAGAATGTAAACAACAAACCTACATTTTCAAAAAAACTGCTCACTAGCGCCCCCTATTGTGTGGTAGTCGCATATAGTTTCTCAGAACTTCACGAATTTTGGCACAGACATTCCTCATGGAATTGCGGAAATATTTGTACATACATTCCATTAGCCCCGCCCCCCAAAAAGTCGGCCATTTTGAAATATGTGCGTTTTTTATGCATTTTAAGCACATTCGTGCCGATTCCTCCTAGGGGAATGATCGGAAAAATTCCAATCCAGGACACGTTCAGACCCTATCCAATATGATACTTAATGGAGAAGAACATTTTTGATAGCTCAATCGTGGAGGTCGTAAGCTAACAGCGAATACACCATTGTTGACGATTTACATGTCGCAAATTACTCCAAATTACTCGGATATAGTTAATCCGATATTCACGAAACGCTGTATACATATTGCTATTATGATTGCACACATATTTCAAATTGCCTTCCATTAGCCCCGCCCCCCAGAAAGTTGGCCATTTTTTTAAATGTGCCGTTTTCAGCCATTTTACGCACGTTCTTGCGAACTCCTCCTAGGGGAATGATCGGAAAAAATCCAATCCAGGACAAGTTCAGCCCATTTCCATTGTGATGCTAAATTGCGAAGGAATAGTCGATCGCTCAAACGACGACATCGTAAGCGAACGGAGAACTTTCCATTTTTGACGATTTACATGTCACAAATTACTCCAAACTACTCGGATATAGTTATTCCGATATTCACGAAACGCTGTATACATATTGCTATTATGATTGCACACATATTTCAAATTGCCTTCCATTAGCCCCGCCCCCCAGGAAGTCGGCCATTTTGAGAAATGTGCATTTTTCATGCATTTTCAGCACATTCTTGCGAACTCCTCCTTGGGGAATGATCGGAAAAATTCCAATCCAGGACAACTTCAGCGCATATCCAATGTCATGCTACATTGAGAAGGAATAGTCCTTCGCTCAAACGGGGAGCTCGTAGGCTAACGGAGAATGTACCATTTTTTACCAATTATATGTCAGATAAGCTACTGAGCCCTGCCTGTCTGCCTGGCACATCAACTCTCAAACACACACACACACACGCACACACACACCTACTGTTAGTCCAACAACGCCCTTTGCTGGCGGCATATTCATTACAAAAGACACTCGCTAACCCTAACCCTAACCCTAATGTTTATTTGTAGATATCTCCTAAAGCCTACAAATAAAGTGTGACATGTAGGCCTGTTACATTTGTTATTGAGCGATATATATTATACACACTGTTCTGCTTTCTGCACTGCCCTCAGCAGCTGTTCTCACTGTAACATCACCTAACATCCAGGGGACATGTGAGTAGTGAGTAAACAAACGGTAAAGGGCAGAAAGTCTGATGCACATTTTATCATCTCAAATAACTTATAATCACAACGGGAACAGTTTGCAGAGCTGTGCTTTGTTGACAGAAGTCCAGCCATGCGTCACGCCTCTTTTAAACATCACTGTTGGCTTAAATCGTCTCAGGAGAATACTTCAGTGTACCCTCGGTTATAGCTCCTCCAGAGACACTCCTCTCTCCTCTAAATCAGTGTATCCTCGGTTACGGCTCCTCCAGACAGCCTGACTCGATAATCGATCCTCGACGACCCTTTAGAGAAATTTGTTTTCCTTCGACATCCGTTTCCGGGTCGCTGCCGGAGCGCCTGGGAGTCTGGGACGCGAAAATTAGAGAAATGACAAACGGCTAATTTCCCAGGACTCGCGCACGTTTGCTTGACGCCGGGACGACCTGCCGCCCTCCCCGACAGGCGCACGGACGCGAGGGCCCGCTCATCACTGCGCGCACAAGTGCGACCGCAGTTTTAATTTTGCATTGTAAGGCAAGGCAAGTTTATTTATATAGCACTTTTCAACACAAGGCAATTCAAAGTGCTTTACAAAAAATGAAAGACATTAAGAAAATGGCATTTAAAATCAGTCATTAAAAAGAAAAGATATTAAAAGAAACATTAAAAGAAAAAATACATGGATAAAAGTTACAGTGCAGTCTAAGATATGAATATATCAATTAAATGCAGCGGCAAAAAGAAAAGTCTTCAGCCTGGATTTAAAAGTAGTCAGAGTTGCAGCGGACCTGCAGGTTTCTGGGAGATTGTTCCAGATATTTGGAGCATAATAACTGAACGCTGCTTCTCCATGTTTAGTTCTGACTCTGGGGACAGAAAGCTGACCAGTCCCTGAAGACCTGAGAGATCTGGATGGTTCATAATTTAGCAGGAGGTCAGAAATTGTAGTATTGAAGTACGGACATTGAGAGCAATAAAGAAAGCTGTCAGAATTAGGTTAATGATGGGCACAAAACCAGACATATATTTGGTTAGGTATTCATCAGTCTTTTTTTTAATCATTTATAAGGACAAACAGACTAAAGTTCTACGGCCATGCTTACGGATCTGTGAGGCTGTACTCACAGTAGTGATTTTAGCAAAATTCTCATGTCAGAATCTTACATGCTCAACATGCAGATATAAGGTTTACCATCTGAGTTGAACACACCACACAACTGAGGCTGATAGGAATGTAATATGTGAAAGTAGGCCTATTATGTTATAAACCAATACAACTTTAGATTTTATGATGGCAGATGAAAAGTTAATGGGTCAACAAAGCACTTATAAATCAGTCTAAAGGGGACAATGTCTGTGTATATATAATTGCATTTTATACAACTCGCGTTGAAATATTAAATATAAGGGACTGCAGAGGTTATGTCACAATGTGGGTTTTAAAATGTTTTTGTAGGATGACATTACATTTGACTTTACATGCCAGGCTTTTGTTTATCATTTTTGTTTTATATTATTGTTCCTACAGTATTTCAAGTTTTTATTAAAGGATCGTTATCATTTAAATGTTGTACTGTATCCAAAATGACCTATTATAAATGTACGATGCACATTACATTAGCATTATTTGTCTAGTGTAAAAGTATATGTAGAAACTAGGGATGGGAACGATTCATCGAATATTTTCAGGTTCAATTATTCAGTTATTAGAATATGAGTTATGAATATTTGTATTGTGTTTTTTTTTTTTTTTTTTTTTGGGAGGGGTGCCTAAATTGATTACTTATGATCAAATGGAATAATTCAATGTATACGACAGTGCCATAGCTAAGTGTGTTAGGTCTAAAGGTGTGTTTTGCTCCGCTCACCGGTCCCTCACAGCGGGCAGAGCTGCAGGTGCTGATCTCTCTCTCTCGCGTCCGGTTATACTTCACTCGCGTTTATGTCCAAATCCATCAGATCTAGCTAGTTCTAGATAACGATATGGCTGCTGCCCCTCCCTACACGCAGATCACGCAGACTCCAACCTCATCTTATGCCCACATTCCAGCTGAGAGGGTCTTCTCTACAGCTGGCCTGATTGTGAATTGTCTCCGCACCGCCTCTCCCCTGAGCATGTAGACATGCTCATATTCTTAAAGAAGAATGAGTATTGAATAGCTGCATTCTGTGCATAGGCCCTGTTATAGGTTGTTGATCTCTGTTGTAATAGGGTTACGTTACCCTAACCCGTTAGGCTGTTCGTGTATGATCCCTCTTTAATTTAAAAACCAAGTTATGTTTTAAGCATGAAAGCTGTAGGCCTATAGCTGTCAACTGTTCAATACATTTGACAAATTCCACTTGGTTTCTATACTTATTTTAACATGTATTTATTTATTTTTCTAAATTATTATTTTTTTGTCAACATTTTTCCCACTTTTTTATTTTTTTTATAGGATATATACATTTCGGTTAATCGGTTAACCGTTTTTTTGGGGGTTGAATATTCGAATATACATTTGCTTTCAAATTCCCATCTCTAATAGAAACGTATTACAAGGAGATAAAAACACTTGAGTATAAAACCTTTCTGAGAGTCTCATGGTGCCTTTAGGGTGCCTGTGACCTTTTCTGATGTGTCCAGACTCATTAGATGTTACAACACAGATGTACACACACACACACACACACACACACACACACACACACACACACACACACACACACACACACACACACACACACACACACACACACACACCTCTATATATTTATACCAGGGGTCACAGAAACACAGTCCATGCTGCTGCCCATGAAATACGTCATTTTGTCTGCAGGATATCTCAGATCAGTGAACTCATGCTTGCCTGAAGAGTGTTCAGCAATGAAAGAGACGAGTGCTCTAAATAACAAATATATAAATAACTACAGTTCACATCGTTTGATATAAATCCTCTCTTTGCTCGTTAAAATGATTGGAAGTGACCTTGTGTTCTGTACTGTACCTCTGAACCAGCGGACAGATCAGGTCGCTGGTAATACCACATGTTAGGCCACGCTAATGCACTTACATAACCACAAATGGCTGCATTGTTTAATGAATATTTACACAACGTGAAAAGAGCTCAGGTCTCAGCATTACAAGGAGAAACTATCCATGATGTGACAAACCTATAGTGGCAGTGCAATGACATTTAAAAACAAGTGGCAATACAAACCAGAATAAAGTCAGGCTTGAATTAATATAAGATTTAAAAAGTGAAGAATCAAATTATGCTTCTTTGTCTAGATTCATGGAATAACAGATATCTTGCATTGATTGAGGAAAACCTGACAACAAATGAAACTTACACAACCCTTATGATGGCAACAAGTCTTATCAGTGGACAATTTATTTCAGATTTATCCACAAATAAAATGCAAAGTAATTATAATCATTATCATTCTGTGTGTGTGTGTGTGTGTGTGTGTGTGTGTGTGTGTGTGTGTGTGTGTGTGTGTGTGTGTGTGTGTGTGTGTGTGTGTGTGTGTGTGTGTGTGTGTGTGTGTGTGTGTGTGTGTGTGTGTGTGTGTGTGTGTGTGTGTGTGTGTGTGTGTGTGTGTGTGTGTGTGTGTGTGTGTGTGTGTGTGTATAGAGGGCAGCGGCTACGAGGAGAGTATCTGCAATGAGGGAAGCATCAGTGGGAGCGACTCAGCCTTCTACAGACAAATTGAAGGTGATGATATGATTTATATTGACATTACACAGCCATGATTTTACTGTACAGCTATTTATTTTTGTACTATTTAATACATTCAGGTTTTTAATTAAATTAATCAATCAAACTTAATTTATAGTGTACTTTTCCAAACGAAACGTAACACAAAGTGCTCCATAAAATGTTAAAACAGTTTTTATCCTCATTTTTCAAATGTTAGCCAACGAAAGGTTTTGTGCATTAGGTAGATATAGTGTGTACTGTATTCAATATCTAAATATAGTGTTAATTATGCTGTATCAAGGAAAGCATTGTATATAAAGTCTCCATCTCAAAGTATTACTGAATTAAAGTAGAGGTTGAATGAATAAATGAATCTGTATTGTAAATAAGAAGTTAGTCAGGAGATGGTTAGCTTAGCTTAGCATGAAGACTGGAACAAGAGGAATCAGCTTATAGGCCCTTTTTTAATTTAGTTTGTTTGTACTCATTAAACAATATACAGTATGTCTTTATTACTGAGCTTTAGAGGTGTTGGTAGATTTTGTTACGTTGAACAAAGTCAGGCCTCTCAGTTTCGCCTTATCAGGCTAAGCTAAGCTAACTAGCTCCCTCTTATACCTAAATGAATGTCTCGGATGACTATGCAAGAAGAAAGCGGTTAAGCACGCTTCCCAAAATGTTAAACTGTTCTATTAAAACTCGATTTTGTCAGATAAAAAAAGGCTGGGGTCATGATATAACCTTTTCCGTGTCAGTTTATATTAAATTATTGCGGTGAGCGTCATCTTTAGCGCTCGGGCAGCTACATGCCCAGTTAGTTATTTAGTCTCGTAACAGTGAGTGCTTAATTCCAACTCCATACCAGAGTCGCTGCAACTGACCCTCTGTGGCCTCATTATTATTATTATTATTATTATTATTATTATTATTATTATTATCCAGTTCAAGGTTTTTCTGGGATCATTGTTATCCTCTCATGAGATCATAAACTCATATTTGTTACCAGCTGCCATGAATTGAATGCTTTACAGCAGATGGACCAGCTGAGGGATGAATTGTTTCATTTTGCTTCTCGTTGTAATCTTTTGGCAGTCTGTTCTGTTCTCTTGTTTGCTGACCTGCTGTGGTACTTTTCCCAGTTCACTGCTCCAAAAGGATAAGTGACGGCATGAATGAGAAGCTGAAGCGGCCTGATGGTCACGTATCTGTCCGTAGAGCCTCAGTAACACAAATGTGACCGTGAAAACAGATTAGCAGCAAACGGCTTGAAAACAGACACAAAAATGATGCATTAATCCCCCCTGTGTTTTTGCATTGATTGAAAATACAACAACAAAACAAGTGATTATTGTATGATTTATATATGTTTCTTGTGTTCAGAGCACAGCATGGCAGAGACCCTCACTGTGGCCTTGCGGGTGGCAGAGGAGGCGATAGACGAGGCCATTTCCAAGGCTGAGTTCGATACTGCCAGCCAGGTTATTTACGTTGTTCACATGTTATAAATACCCCGTCATGTTGTTAGATTGCATATCTACACACTGCCTTGCACTTTGTGTCACATAAACTGCTGTTTAACTTGTTTTCTTTCAAAACTATGTACTATAAAATCCTGTGTATTATTTTTAGCCAGTAATGTAGATGCTGGAGTATGTTATGTTGTCCCCCTGAAGTCCTATGATCATGTTCCTCCTTAATCTGACACCTGCTTTTTCTCTTTTGGGTCAGAGTTTAAATCAGATTATAGAAAACAATCGGGATTACGCTGCAATCCAAATGACGGTTTAATACTCCAGTATAAAAGAACATCAGGGCCATTGTGAGGCCACAAAAAGAAAAGCAAACTAATGTGGGTTATTGGCCATATTTCACATAAGTTTACATCACAAATTAAAAACACTGTCGGATAAGATAACAAATAAGTAATTTTTTTAAGCTATACGTAAATGTCCCATTGCTTGCTTTTGAAGGGTTCTGCTTCATCTGCAAAGTGTCACTAAATAAAAGGTACAACATCAATTTAGGAGATGAAAAACGAGACAAAACAACTATAAAGACACAAAAATCGCTACAAAGAACTTTAAAAGCAGCTTAAAAAAGACTCAAAGTGCTACAAGAGCTAGACAACGACCACAAAGAGACTCAATGACGACAACCATGATGAACAACCATGAACACTGATGGGTTGTGTGGCCCTTTACATCTTGCTGTCGTGGTTCATATTATCTCAGGATAATTTTGCTAAAGCTACTTCTTAAAATATTTATAACTCCATCACTATCTGCAAGTGAAATGCCAAAGCACACTTCTGTTTCCGCAGCCACTTTCTAAAACACTACCGTATGTTCGAAAAGATTTGCTCCCCACTAATCCGTATCCCAAAGCTTTTGAACTTAGTACAGCAAATATGTATATTTAGAGCGTACGTTTAGAGGCGTAATCAGCTTATGCTTTGTATTTGTGTGCGTGTGGTGCTGAATAGCTTTCTAATTTGTTTGTGTGTTTGTTTACCAGGAGAAGCAGAATGAGGCTCTGTACCTGCGGGAACACAGAGGACAGCTCGTTGAGGAACTGTCCAAAACTATTGTGCAGAAAGTAAGAAAGGAAACAGATTTTGCCTCCTGAGTTGCAAATACACACTTTGCACAGTAGCAGTTGTATAGTGTATGGTGAGGTTGACTCACTTTGTTTCAAAATCCAGTGTGTAATACTCAATCATCTGTTTTTCTACTCCTAACATGTTAAAAACATCCTGAACATATTGAGAGAGAAAATCAGCTGATGTTTGATTTCTGCATTTGAACAGAGAAATCCTCAGAACTAATCATCTCCCTGTGTCTCTTAGATTATTAGTAGGAGAAACACTTTGGCTGAGATGAGGGCAGAATATGACCAGGTTTGGCCAATTGAAAACAACACTGACCACCTTCATCATCATCATCATCCTCATCATCCTGACTGTGATCAAGCCTCCAGCTCCATTGAACACCAACCAGGCCTCTGGGTAAAAACGTCTCACTTTAGTTTGACTTTGCAGTAAATGAACAGGGATGTGTTCAAAACAATTATTTTTTAAGTGGTATTATAGTTATTATTAAAGATTAAACCAGTGGTTATGTACAAAAATAAGTTTAGAAAATGAATTTTATTTTACATTTCTCAGAAGGTTTGATTTTAAGGTTTTATATAAGCCATTTAATATAGCAGAAAACTATTTGATAAGAGAATTAAAAACCACATTAATATAATATCACACAACTCAAGTGAGCAAAAAGGTTTTCTATTGACACCTGCTGGTTAAACTTGTTAACAGGCTCTATTAACTTCACCTTATTGCAGACTCCCAGTGTGACAATAACTTTTATTTTGATCGCTCTCCTCTCAGAGGTCACACTCTGCTTTCTCCCTGCTGGACAATAATCCTGCCGGTCGAATACAAAGCACTCAAACGCTGAAGAAGAAGGAGGGAGGCACGCTGCCGACCTGGAAAAGTGTCGACCGGCTGGACAACGCTGGTGAGATCCTACTGCTCTTTAACTTTTAAAACCAACCATGCATCCTTCTTTTGATTGGTTCATTTATTTATTTAGCATAAATTACTGTCAATAATGTGTCTGTTTCTGCATGATGTGTGCGCTCACATTGGTAGCGGTGTCGTCGGTGTCCCGCCCCGGCCTGCTGACGAAGAGGAAGAGCCCGTTCTTCAGCGCCCTGGAGAGGGAGGCTGAAGTCGTGTCCGCCTACGAGGGAGTGAGCTCCGATAACGAAACCAAAGCCGACAGCTCGTGGGGCGGCGTCCTGCAGGAGATCCACAGGAAGATGGCCGACTCTAACTTCAACCTGCAGGACGGGATCCCCTTCCAGCTGCCGGGCAGCAGAGACGAGCTGTTCTCCGACTCGGAGGGCGAGAGGAAGCCCAGATCTCTGCTGGCGCTCTTTAAGAGGAAGGTGCCCACTGAGATCAGGAAACCGGCATCCTCCAGGGGGACGAGCATCATCGACGTGAACTTTAACGTGGAGGGAAATGGAGAGGAAGAGGAGAGAGAGGTGGCTGCAGAGCCAGAAGTTCTGAAAGTGAGGAGATCCCGGAAGAAAAGGAGGAGTAAAAAAAAGTTGTCTTCTTCTGTGCGGGTAGGAAATATAATTTCAAGAAACTAAGAACAGATGAGATGAAATTAGATAGAAAAATCTTTACTGTAAATCTTGTAATAATTACAGGTAGAAAATAATTAAAGTAATGGTACAGTTAAACATGGTTCTATAGCACATTTCCTGTCAAGGTTAATGCATTTAAAGTCTTTACAACTCGCTTCATTGTAAAAAAATAACAGAGCTGTTAAAATGACTGACTCAAAATGATCAGCAACAATGAAATGATGTATTAAATAATCAAGCAAGTTGATTAAATACGATTAAACGAAAAAGGAAAAACATAATAAAATGTGAACTTTATTCCTGATAAACTAAAATATCATATATATATATATATATATATTTTAATATAAAATAACAAAAAATGTCCTGTGTTTCCTCATTGGTAATAATAGTGAGAGAAGAAGCATTGCTGTGCGCGGGGTATTTTCACTATCTATAAATATAACTAGCTGGATCGAATTTCCCCACATGTAGAAAACTGCTCAAATGCACATCTCATGACAATAACAGAAGGTAGGACTTCAGTCACTACAGGAAATATACATTTATTCTGAATTCTATTGTTTCTTACAGTCACAGGAAGACATCGAGGAAGACGACCATTACCAACAAACATATGAGGCTGCGACCCCGGACACTTTGACCTCTGGAGCCTCGACCCCTGAGTCTGATGACCTTGAGAGTGACATCACAGGAAGTGGAGCCAATCAGACGGAGCAAGAGCTCACGTCACAACCGCAATTTTCTCAGTCCTCCAGCGGAGAAGAAGAGGGAGAAGAGGCTGAGGATGGAGGAGCGAGAGATGCTAGCGATGATGAACACAGGAAGGAAGAGAGACAAGAAAGCCAGGACGGATATGAGGAAGATGAGGGTCTTTGGAGGATGGAGATCGACCCTGAAGAAGGAAGAACAGAGGAAGGGGATGATGAGGAGATGGAAAGCAGATTGTACAGACTCGTCGCACACTCCAGACGAACATACTTCTCTTCAACGGATGACGATTTAGACAAAGTTGGCCAGAGTGACGCGGAGTGTGACGAAGACAAGGATGAAGACGTGGAGGAGGAGAAGGTGGGGAGACTAAACTCAAAACTCTGTGAGCTAGAGAAAGAAGTCCGGGCCAACCAGTTCTCCTCCACAGAGGACGAGCTGGACAGAGCTGGAGTCATGGATGAAGAAGAAGAGAAGAAGGAGGAGGAGGAGGAGCTGACGGTGAAAGTGTGCAGATTAGTCAACCAAGCCAACGCGACCTTGTTCTCTTCCACGGAGGATGAGTTAGACCGAGTAGGAAGAGGCGAAGAGGCGGAGGAAGCGATGGCTGAGGAGACGTTGTGGAAGATGCAGCAGGAACATCTGGACGTCCAGAACACTCGACTCAGAGATTTGGCCAGCCTGGTCAGCGCCTCTCAGTTCTCTTCCTCTGAGGATGAGCTGGAGAGAGTTGGAGAGACGGAGGAGGAAGCAAATGAAGAAGGAATTGAGAGGGAAGAGATTGTGGGAGACCTGAGAGAGTCATTTGAAGATTTAGACGTGGACATGTTTGATGTAATGGGTGAACATGAGGAAAGAAAGACAGAGAGCAGTGATGAAGACGTTTGCATGCAGGAGAGAGTACCAGCTGAGGACATATGTGACGAAAAAGTAGACATTTTGGAAGAGGAGGCGGTTAAAAAAGCACAGGGCACAGAGAGGAGACAAGAGATGGAGTTTGAAACAGTCATACAAGCTGAGAAAACAGAGGAGGTCATCTTAAACAAGGCAAAAGTCCAACAAGTGGATGAAAAGGTGGCAAAGCTTCAAGACAAAGAGGAAGTAGAAGAGAAACAAGAAGAGGGTCAGGACGCAGAAACAGACAGCGATGTGGACGACGCAGAGTTCGAGAGGATCATCAGCAGCATGTTGATGATGACTTTGGAAGACATGCAGGTCGGGACATTAGAGGAAGAAGCTACGGAAAATAGGAGCGAAAATATAGAAACGGAGGATACAGATGAGAGTGCAACAGTTGGGGGATTCGAGGACAGCGCTGTCGATGCACGAAGCACAAAGGTATCAGAGGAGACAGGAAAGGTGTCGCAGAGTCGAGGCGACGTCAAAGGAAACGAGCAAATTGGGGGAGACATTTCCAGGAAAAAGGAGAATGAAAATGCTACAGGCGGGAATGAGAATGAGGGGGAAGACACAGATGTACAAGAAGGACACGTAAATGCAGCCATGGAAGAGACACCTGAGGTCAAACAGACATGTGAGAGAATAGAAGTGGGTGATGAGGAACAAGACGGAAGAAGAGGAGCAGTCCTGGAGGAGGGGACAACAATGGAGACACAGGGGGATCGTGAAGTTAAAGAAACAGATGAGAGACGTGAAGAAACCAAAGAAAGTGTGGAGGACATGGAGCAGAGCAGCACGTCTACTCCTCACGGTTTACTCTCACCTGAGGAGATTCAAAATGTAAGACCTTTTATGTTTTGCCTCGCTCTGCACACTGATAATGTATGCAACATCACTGTAGGTGGCGATCACTCCCCGCAAGAGGAGCACAAGTCCGATGCTGTTTCAAAACCTGCTTAAAACGCTTTTTATGTTCCCCGCTAACAATAGGTTGAGATTATAACATTTAAGTGTGTAAGTTGAAAGAGATAGAAACAATTCAATAGATGAATTTATAAGCATTAAAACACAAGGGTGTCCATTACAGCACGCTCAGAGCTTTTGATGCTAAAGCCTTTCTTCTGCCTGGCCTCTCAAAGCATCTGAATCTAATATAAATATCTTAATACATTGTCCTTTAAATTTGTCAATTAGCATCTGCTAGTTGAGTTGGGTTCTAGTGCATCGTTTTCTACCATGCAACTTCTTTCACCAACAAAAAAACACACACATAACTCTCATGTTCTATCAATTTGGTTTTTAATGTGGTTTAAATATCTTAGCATGAGTCACATTTACAGGTTTACATTTGGAATTTAATGAGATAAAAAGAGAAGAAAAACCTAATATTTCCATATCAACAGGTTCTGTTTCTGAGAGGCTGAGCATTATAAACTTCTACGTAGCTGGATTTGAGCTAATTTCTCCTTTGCTAACTAACTATTAACACAACTCTGCCTGATATTGACTTCCCCTGTCTGTCCTGTGTTTTCTTCTTCTGTGGTTCTCTGTGTGCTGTAGGCTAGCGACCTGGAGCTTTACAAAACTATTCAGTTCATATCCACTCTGCTGGAGCAGGTGAGATCTAGCGTTGGCTTTATAAAGGCAGCCTGTACTTCATTTCACTTTATCACACGTTCTTCTCTCAATGCTTTCATCTCATTTCTTTGTCTTTTTCAATGTGCTTGTCGCACTGAATGAATTATATTTCATCCATTCAAGTTATTCACTGTGGATATGATAAATCCCCCTCCCCCTTTTGTTTGTTCAAAGCAATGGTGTGAATGAGTTTTCAGCTTTATGGACACTTTTTATAAAAAATCTCTCATGTGATAAACGAATAACTCACAACAGCAACATCCAGCCATTCACCATTACCACATCAACCAGTATTTCCTATAGACAGCATATATTTATATCATTTGCATATAATATCCATGATTAGCAAAGCAGTTAGGAAAAGAAGCATACATGACCCTCCCTGTTTCTGACTCCAGTGTAGTATTTTTTTCTTTTAGTGAAATTGAAATGTTTTCCTCGGTGTCAGAGGTACTCGGCGGTGTCTCTACGCAGCATCACCACGGAGGTCCTGAAGGTTTTGAATGCCACTGAGGAGCTACTGCTGCAGGGGGGGGGAGGAGACGGCCCCCCACCCTGCACCCCGCTGCCCCCCCACACCGACCCCAAGAAACTGGACCAGCAGTTCTCCAGACTGGAGGAGAACGTAAGATCAGCTTTTTATATGTATTCACTGCAGATGGCTCTGTTTGAAGAGTGTGAAGCTACTGATGACACGTTTCGGTTGAAGCTGTTTTTATTGTGTTGTATGGTGTTAATGCACGATTTGTGATTTCAAATATTAAGTTAGTTTCTTCAATAATGACCGATTTGGTCATTATTGAAGAAACTAACTTAATATTTGAAATCAACTGCAACAAAGTATGTTGTTAAACCTTTTTATAAATATGTGTCGCTATAGTATGTTCTTACATAATTGTCATTAAAGATTGTCATAGTATAGTTTGCCATGGGCTACTAAGTTGACTTTCCTAGAAAAACACAATATATAAACGGGTTTAATTCAGATAATTGCATATGTTTCCAATTTAAAAGACCAAGTTTAGCAGTTACTGTTGTGTTTACCTGGACGTGCTGCAGGCAGGGGCGCCGTAAGGGGGTGATTCTAAGGGCCGTGACTGACAGGGGCCCAAACTATTTTAGAACATTAAGAAAAAAATGTTTAAGTAGCCAATGTGATCATCTTTTCATGGGGCCCAAAATCCCTGGCTGCAGGTGTACGTGGCGGCTGGAGAGGTGTTCAGTCTGGAGGCGGAGCTTGGAGACCTGGAGGAGGTCGCCCGCGGCGTCTGCAGCGACACGCCCGGCCTGGAGCTCAGCTTCCTGGAGGAGCAGGTCGCCTCGGCCGCCGCCAGGGTGCAGCAGTCTGAGCTGCAGGTGGGTCCATGTATGACTCTGTTTTTAGCTGAAATTTGTATATTAAAGGTCCCCCATTATACTGTTGTTCATCAACATATTATAGGTCTCAGATATATACAAAACATGTCTCTGAAGTGTTTGGCTGAAATACCAAACGGATCATTGCAGCATTACCCATAATCCCCTCTGTTTCAGCCCTGTTTCAAAAGTGCTGATTCTCTGTCTGTTACTTTAGATGAAAAATAAGGAGCCCCTCCCCACGCCCCTCTGAGAGATGTTTGGTTACAAAGAACTCAATGGTGCTCTAGGAGGAGATTCAGGTGATAAGGTGGGGGGGGGGGGTTACCTTGGTTGCTGATTGGCTAATGGTTACACAAGCCAAAAAATCGTTATGACATCATAAAGTGGCCAAAGTCGGATCAGCTCATTTTCAGGTTTTTATATAAATGGATCAGGACAAAAAGTGAGCAAATCTTTTTTTCCTGAAACGTTCATAATCTCTTGACACAGAAGGGACACATGTTGATGTAGAAAAGACGTGAAAAAGTGGATTTTGCATAATAGGTGACCTTTAAGAAAGAGACTGTGTGAAAAGTTGATGAAACACAGGTCGGCCTCATGGGGAAAGACAACCGTAACAACATCTGTGTGATCTTAATCAAACATTGAGTTGTATGTTTCTGTTGTTCCTGCTTCAGATTTCTGACATCTCAGCTAGAATTGCTGCTCTGAAGAGTGCGGGCCTGAATGTGGACACACAGCAGGCCCGCTTCACCAAGACCCGGACCGTTCCATTTATGGTACATCTATATTAAATTATTATCATCTCCTATGGACTACCACAACGTTATGTCAAACAGCTCGGGCAAGTATTACAACTGGTGTTGTGGCTTGTGTGTTTGCAGCCGGTCACTGTGGACTCATCGAGGCAGCAGAGGAGGAGACTTCCTGCTCCACCTGTCAAAGGTAGGAGTGTGTCCTGATTATAGGAAACCTACTGCCTGTGTGATGCAATACATATGAATTGTCTCAGTTAATGTTTATGTAGATGCTGTTCAAAAAGGACATGCATAAATGCTTTATACTAACAGGATCAAATATATTTAACTTGGATGGTTTAAGTGTGTTTTTAGATTAACATTTTACAACAGATTTTTTTTTGGTTTGCATACTAACTGTTGTGAATATACTTAAATGTAACGGAAATATTTGTTTGCAGTTATACTGTAGTCTCATTCTTGAATCTTTGGAGAGACAAAACGAATGACGTACTTGTCCAAACGTTTTTATACAAAGATGCATTAATAACCAGCCACTGCTTTTGTTTATCTCAACACCATAACATTGAAAAGAAACAAGAGATACAGATGTAGTTGAGACAAGAATGTGTTCAATATGAAGTGATGTATTTTATTAATGAGCCTTCGATGTCTTTGAAAATACATTTAAATTAATGCATAATTTGATTTGTTCTGCCTTTTGTTTGATCTCTCTCTCAGAGGAAAACTAAGTCTCTGAGCGAGACCTCAGCAGTGCCTTCGCCTGCTCCTGCAGGACAGCGTGCCTTCATTTATTTCATTTAGACTAACATGCCTCAAATGACACAGGATCAGCGCTGTGTGTCTCTGAAACATGTACATCTACCGTATAACATTTGAGTTAATCTGGTGAAAAGGAGAGGGTTAACCCTTCAGCTCTGCAGAAAATCACTAACATTTGTCTTTTAAAACTCTTTTATTTCCACAAAGTGGGATAAAACTGAAATGATTACACTAGTGTATTACAGCAGAGGACACGAAATCTTGTTTTAATGAAAATATTTTATTTAGATTCATTTTTAACATCAGTAGTAGTCCATTTACCATGCTGATGAAAACAGCTATACAAACATTGTATAATGACCGAAAAGACACTGAAGTGATCGTCTAAAACCTGCATTTACACCATTTTTACCGTTATACCATAAATATGGGTACATATACATGGGAAATAATGTAGACAAGTATTGCTGCTAGACTGTATCATGTGTAAAATAAATATAGATATGTATGTTTGAAATGTTGTAATGTACAGCAAACCAATCAGTATGTTGTTTTCTGCCTCTATTACTTAGTTCAGAAAATAAAGTAAACTCTAAAAAGACCCTTTGCCTTACTGTATGAATGTTTCTCTCCGAGGTAAACAGCAGTGAGACGCTGTGCTCCGATGAAGGTGGGTGTAATGGTGAGGAATGTAGCCTGTATTTTTGAGATGAGGATGTGACACCCGCACATGAGATTCCTGCTTGTGAAGAAGGTGTGGGAACGACACATAACAGACGTCTTTCAGAAAGAAATGGTCTGAAAACAAACATCCTGCGGCGTCACCTCTGACGCCGCAGTAAACACGAACGAGTGACCTGAGAAAAGTAAATGTAGTTCGTATGTATTAAATACTCTCGGTTTATCAGATGTGAAGCAAAGTGAGAATACATTATTCTGTCCTTGCTGTTTCCTCATAGAGGTTTGGTGTTTTTCTCTTTTAATGCTCAAATGTGGAAAATAATAAGTCTCCCTCACATAGTGATCCAGCTCTGTCCCAAAGCCTTCTGGGATACGTAGTTTTGGGTCAGGAGCTCTCTGACACTAAGAAGCGCTCCCTCTGGTCGGGAACTATGAATCCTTCTTTCTGCTCGCTCTCTCTTCGGTCCGACATCACGAACGACTGTTTGGGGTCGATGACGGCCACGCTGTCTTTGTCCGGAGCCTCGACCTCAGCGTAGGAGGGGCGGCCGGACCCCCGTCTGAACTTCATGATGGGCCAGCGGGTGGGCCGCCGCTGAGGGGGAACAAACGACAGAAAAATTAGCAAAAACACATGGGTTTGTTCAAGGATTACTTCGATATAATATATAGAAAACCTTTGCAGACCAGAACATAGCACTATATACCTTTTATGTATTGGAATGAGGTGTTTTTCTGCACTGCGGAACGTCCCTTAAACATCTTCCACAGTATATTGCACTATTATAATTAATTTTTAGGCCAAGAGAGGCTTTTGAATGTTATAATAAAACTCATAAAAGGCATATTTTGTATTTAACTTACATAGAAGGGTGCAGAGGAAGTGTGTCATAGCTTCAGTTTTGTGGTTTTGGGGTCACTGACCTCCATGAAGAAGAGGCTGGCGCTGCAGGTGGGGTGGGTGTACATGTAGACGGACATGAAGACGGCAGCTCCCATAATAACTATCACCATGACGATACCCGCCAGCAGCCCAGTCTGCAGCCGCTCGTCGCTCTCTGCGGGGGGGTCCTGGTGTCGGGCTTTACAGAGAGGGTTTATAGGTTATAGACTTGGACAATGTGCATCTCCTCGTCAAAAGGACTCAATATAATTGGTCTTAAAGAAGCTCATGTAGATATTTCAGCGCTGGAAACATATGAATAGTTCACACGTTGTGGCTTTAACTATCAGGTTGAATGCAAATATTTACATTTTGACTTAAGTTTTGCTTGAAAACTGCTGAAAATAATTACCAAAATGTCGATCAGACACACAGCAGGGGAATGACTTACCTGCTTCATTGATGTGCAGAGAGATCTTTGTGTCATCTAGAAAAAGAAAGTCTGACATTATACACTATTTTAAATCAAAGCAAACACTAGGTCATTAATCATACATGTAGAAGCATCTAAGAATAAAGAATTAACAAAACTTAAAACGCAAATGTTTACTGTAATCAAGCTTTTTGAGGAGGTGCAGCAGTTTTTAATGAGACACTGCTACACTACAAACCATTGTTGTAGGTCCCCAAAAAGTGTGCGGTCATTTGCAAAGAATCACTTCATTTTATCCAAACTTTCCTTTTTAAGTAAATCTTTACAAAACATCCAGGAAATATTCTAGATATTTGGGATCAACTTTGGGACTTGTTTTTTAAGAATAAAAATCAAGAGCTTTTCCATCTACCTTTCCTACTTAAATCGGAGTGCTTTAGTTAGAGTGGGACGTTGCAGCCGTCCTATACTCTGCCTGCAGAGACGCACACATACATCGAGTCATCCTTCAGCAGCTGAGGACACATGCAGTATTTAACATGGCGCTGTGACAGAGGGCTGGGAAATATCTGACCAGTTGACCCTCTGACTGTCAGCCTTTACACAATGCACTGTGTTACCATGCACAGACAACAAGGATGAGCTCTAGATGGTGATGGCACCCGCCCTCAGCTGAAATCTGTAACTTTAACTGTAATGACTTTTCTTACGTTTACATTACATCCCCTGATGTGCAATAACACTACCTGTATAAAAAACGTACCCTCGTGCAATTCACCCTTTATTTGTTCTTTCAACTTGTTTACAATCGGCAAACGGTACCAGCTACCTCTTTAACCATGGTGTACTTATCTGCTATTTCTTTTTGTAACTGATTGTGTTTTTTATTAGTAAAAACGTGTGCATACTTAGTTATTATTATTTGTTTATATGTAAGTCTATTCGCTTTACTTTATCTGCTGTTGTAAAAATGTACATTTCCCTATCAATATGTATATGACCCAATATGTTATAATTTCTTATTTTATAGTTATTTTATCATTTGAATCTGTGCTGTCCTGTTTTTCATCCTCACCCTGTTGCTGTTAAACCACTGAATTTCCCCACGGGGATTAATAAAGCTCTATCTTATCTTATTGCAGGACAAATAAAGGAAATCTGATCCTAAATCCATCATGTTAAGCTATCAAAACAAGGACTATTAAAAGTAGTGGTAGGACTTTCTAAGTAACACACGTTGTTTACTAGATGGCTGAAAGCATGCTGTCAGCTGACCTTCTGCAGCTCTGCTGGTTGGAGGCTGCTCACTGGATATCATTTCTCTGCTCTTGCTGCTGCGTGTTGGCGGGCGGGTGGCGGGGGAAGTCCTGCGGGGGGGGGGGCGGGGGTCGTGCTGGAGGTCCTCTGATGCATCGCGGTCGTCATGACAGCAGCGGTCGTTTGTGGGAGTTGGCGAGACGAGGTGTTGCTGACGTCTGTGAGCCGGAGACAGCGGGGATCTCTCCTCTGGAAAACAAACGGCTGTCAACTCAGACACAAGTTTCAACTGAATTTGACTTTCTGTAGTTTTATTAAAATGCTAGAATAATCCGAACCTCTTCCGGGCAGCCGAAGTCGACCCAGTTCTGCCGGTTACGATCAAAGCCACTGGAGCATCTGAGAAAGGAAGTAGATATTAATACGTACATGAGCTGTGATTTCAGGGTCAAGACAAAGTGTTTACGGGACAAATCTCAATAAAGCTTTATCACAACCAAATGTTATGTTTCTTTACATATTGAATAGCTCCACATGTAGTAAAGCAAGAGAGAAACAGAGCTTACATAAATTGGTTCCTACCTAAAGGGTATGTCCATATTTGCCTCAGGTATATCCCAGTACTACACCCACCTGCTCCTCGTTGAAAAGCGAGGAAGTGTTTCCTGGAAATGTACTGCTCTGTTTGTAATGGCTGCAAGGACACACTTTGCCAAAACTATTTTAATGTATCTGCGTTCCTCATTTTGAGAGAATTCAGCCAAGCTAAAGTGAGGCTTCTGAGTTAATCTGATTAAGTGTGTATCTTCCTGACTTTATATATAGCCTACCAAAAAGGACATTGAGAGATCTAATGAATCCCTTAAATGGAAATCACTTTAGGAAGGGACCTTTGCTGCCAGTACAGACAAGAAGAACATGTGCAGCAGTAACTTCAATACAAGAGACGTGTGTATATATCATGGTATATATATATATATATATATTTATAAAACGGACAAGTCAAGTCAAGCAATCTGATTGGTTCTTGGCCGTGATATACTGAGCGTATACCACGGGTAGAATTGTAGTTACTTTTCACAACAAGTCAGTATCCCTCCGCGTCTGAGAAAAACTGTATACAGTTGGGTTGAAAAGCAAACTGCCTGCACTTTGCTTTTCGTCGGGCCGAACCACGCCCCTTAGCTGTGATATACTGAGCATATACCACGGCCTGTCGTGAGCTATTGCTTAAATATAATAGTGCATTAAAATCGAGTAAACAGTAAGACACAGTATGTTAATATCTTCATCACGTGACCATCTTCTTTAGCAGTGCAATATGTTCCCTTAAAATCTATTCACGTTCTTTGTATTTCATACCATTTTCATTTCATTGGACATCTGTGTACTCTAAAGCAGCGCAGGATGTATTTTTATTAAAGTGAATTTAGTGGGCCTGTGCTCTCTGAGGGATTTCCAGTTTACCTTTGTAGCCGACTGCACCAGCTGCAGTTAAAGCCGATCTGAGAAGAGACACATGGACCACAGCTGGAGAACTGGAGACACGCTGAGAATAAAGAAAACAGAGAAGGGCGAGGAGGAAGAGCGAGGGGGAAGGGCGAGGAGGAAGGGCGAGGAGGAAGAGCGAGGAGGAAGGGCGAGGAGGAAGAACGAGGAGGAAGAGCCAGGAGGAAGAGCGAGGATTAAGAGCGAGGAGGAAGAGCGAGAAGGAAGAGCGGCTTCTGTGAGTTAAAGCCAAATGCACACCGAGCTTCCTGCTGGTATTGTCATCACAAGTTATTCAGTTTCTACGATTGAGCGGAAACAAATGCAAACTGTGAATTTTTGCAAAACATGTATTTTAAAAGTAATTTAAAGGTTGTACTTACTCGGGAGAGGGAGCATCTCCACCGCTGTAGAATTGGATATTTTGGACTTGAGGATGTCGACCTTGTGATACTCATAAATGGTTCTCCGACGAACATCTGCAGCGTGTCAGAGAGGATATGATGTCGTTAATAACTAGTGAGATTTAGAGTATTGTTTAAAGAGTTGGCTGGCAAAACTATGGCAGGAAAATAAAGTTTTAAAACACCAAATGTGCCACTCACTTGGGATCTGCTCGATCTTATGAAGCACCACAAAAGCGTCCGACAGGCCCACCTTCACAGGATGATTCTCAGAGCTGATGTCGCTGATGTCTAAAGGAATCTTTGAAAAATAAATCTGTATAACTAAACGAGTGTCGCATTAACAGGAGAACAAGAAGGAGGGAGGACATGTCACCTCTTTGTATGCGAACACGATGCGTCCGTCGCTGTGCAGAGCGGCCTGGAAGGTGAACGGTCCCAGACTGATGTCGTCCTGGAGGTGGATCCGGTTCCACTGAACCACCAGGGCAGTGCCTACAGGGGGAACATGCATGAACACAGTCATTTAAATGAAGCTCAGCGCAAGTTCTTTCAGGAAGACTGGTTCCCACGTGCTCATTCACAATTCTCCCTCACTCACTCGCCCCTTTCTCAATAAGCAAAGGCGCAATTTACCCCAGCTAAACCAATCGGCTGCCTCTTATTCCCCACAGCCAATCACAGCACACCTGGCAAAACGTTTAAATCCGCTCTTTCTCTCCCCTGACAGCATCGTTCAGAGAATTGATGCAACCCTCCTCCACCTCCAGTTTTTCAGATCCAAGGCAGGACAGCCCAGAAGAACCCTCATCACTCCGGACTTTTATTTTTCCTTAGTACTCACCACCACCAGTGTCTAGACCCCGGGGGGTTTCTCTTTCTAGTCGGCTTCTCCTCCCTCTTAATTCATCACAGTATGATGGGGTCTAATCTCCAAAACGCTATTGTGCATATACGACAATACAAATGTTATCAACTACAAACTAAGTCTCTCCTCCTGATTGAATTGCATTTAAGATCAATTTTCCACACAAGAAGAAATGACAGTGTCTACTACCGTTATCAAAGTAAACCACAGTAGAGTTTTTGGACAGACTCGGGTCGAAGTTAGCCATCAGAGGGGCGATGTACTGAGTGGCTGTGAGCATCCGGTGGATTATATCTCCGGTGTAAATGAATCCTGGGAGAGGAACACACGCAGAGGTTAGCATGAGGGTTAGTTCAGCTTTGAAAGAGTGAAATTAGAGCACGTTCAAGCTACCAAAGGAAACAGCGTCCAGACTCTTTGGGCTTCAATCAGCTTATCTAAATTGTTAGTACCAAAAATAAACTTAATTTTGTATACAAGTAACATATTGACTTTGGTCGTCTTTTTTGATCTTGATATTAAATGCTTAGCTTGCTCCCGTCCAGTCCAAAATGTCTGTATTCATATGTAGCTGTATTTGTAGCCCAAATAAAGATGAAATCTCCAACTGCTTTGAATGAAGAGCCTCATCATGACTCTGAGCTCTCGACTCAAGACGTGTGGTTAAAGATTTACCTCCAGTTGCCACCGTGATTTCCTTTAGTATATGTCCGTAGAAAGGGAAGTCGAAGGAGAGATTCACTCTCTGGAAAAGAGAGAGAAAAACTGTTATTAACTGTTTGTTAAAGATGGTCAAAATACACTTATGCAGCAGCAGGGTATATGCAGGAATCCTGAAGTCAAATGTAAAACCTTTTAAGACCTTTTTAAGACCCTTTCCATACATTTCAAGACCTCATCGCCACTTCGAGTTTTAACCGGTTACATTGGCGACACACCACACATTTACTATATACAGTATTGATTGTCCTTCCTCCTTATCTTCCAATCATTTGGACGCAGACTTGCATTTCCCCATAACGCTGTCTTAAGCCCCACGGACCCTTCGGCGGGTCCAAAACCACAACATCTGCAAGCAACAGTGTTTTCACTATAAGTAAAAAAGAAAAAAGAGTTTTTGGACGGACACTATAATTTACAGTTTTTTACTATGTTCAATCTGAATTTTCTTTAAAATAAAAAACATCTATATTGATTCAGGTTTTAACAACCGGCGTAAACGGACCTTCGCGCGCTATCAAGCAGTGAGCGTGCGATGTCCTGTTCAGATTATGTCAAATCCAACGGGACGCCATAAATAAACTACACATAATCACACACACCTACGCAATGATTACATTCAGGCAGACTTTAGAATACAACCTCTTTGGACAATTTATATACTTATTGAAAACAAGCTACAACATTTAATACGTTGGAAAATGCCGTTTTTTAAAATTGATTTATCAACTTGTAATACTTTTTAAGACCCCGCGGACACCCTGAGCAGACAAAGCAGAATGTTTAATCCTGTAAAAAAGTAGCTGTAATGCTACTGAGTTAACCCAGCTTATGTTCTAGTATAAATATAAACTGTAATATGATGAGCCACACTATATCAATGTCTCAAAATCAATTGGAATCAAACTTCTTCAACATTTATTTTGAATATTATTTGAAGGTCCCTTCCTTCCTACGCTGTGTTACCTCTGCCTGCCTGTGGGTGCTGGACAGGAGGCCGCACAGCTTCACCTCGTCCTCCTCCTCCACCTTCACCCACAGATCTCTGCCGTCTCCAGAGCCGTACACTTTGGATGTGTAGTAGGCGTGGTCAATATCCTGCCAAAAATACACGGATTGAAATGCTTTAAAATCAACATTAAAAAAATACTATGTGAAGATGAATATAAAAAAACGACATGTGTTTTAGGAAGGAGCTGTAAAAAGTGAGCTCCAATGCAAGTGAGGCTATGAGTTTTAACTTTTGACAGATATGGAAAGTAAAAAGTGGACCTATCATGCCATATTTGAATAATATATTGTAGGGCCATACCTATATAAAACATGTCTGTGAAGTTTTTTTTTTAAAATACCAAACAGATCATGCATTTCAGCCATGCCTCATTTCGCTCTATTTGCTCTTTTCCAGCCCTGTTTTTGCAAGGGCTGATTCTCCTTTTGTGGCAGACGACAGCGCCACTTACAGGCCTGGCATATGAACTACAGCGTCTCCAGCACTTTCCAGCGGTCTCTCATTCCCCTGATAGGTGGAGAGTTGCTCATATAGGCGGAGCACCCCTTTCTCACGTCAGAACAATTCAAATAATAATCAGCTCCGTTGCAGCCCCGTTTTTAGAGATTTGGGTATGGAGGAAAAGAGAGAGGGTTGTGTTTTCTGACACTTGGTGAGTTCCCTGACACACCGGGGACACATATTCATGTATAAAAGACGTACAAAAGTGCATTTTGCATGATAGGTCCCCTTTAAGTTAAGAAATAATATAAATTAGTCATGTTAGTTGCGGATTTCCGGTATTTTCAGATTCTTGTTCCAAAGAGGACAACCATTTTGAGAAACTAAAATACTTGCATTTAGTTGTTCCCTCTAGTCTTTCTTGCCAATTATTTGTATGTATTAAACATGAAAAACAGAAAATGCCTAATATTCTCCAAATGTCATCACATGTACTTACAGGAAAGAAAATGTAAGCTGTTTATGTATAACATTTATTTATATCATAACCATATTGAACAGTTTAATCCATAAGGTTATTTCAGACCAACATTTAAACTATTTCTGTCAAGTTTTCATCCGCGAGAACTGCCATTATAATCGTAAACTGAATACATTCAGTTACTTTCAGTTATTAAAATATTTCAAATTGTACTTCTTCAGCTGTTAAACCTCTCTTTTCGGTAAATATCTTTACCACAATCTGAGTGGAGTTGTCGTGTCCCTCCTCCATCAGCAGCTCTGGGTCTGGTTCCTCTGGTTGGTGCTTGTCTCTGTAGTGGCCCCTTTTGTTTGCAGCCCAGCCAGGGGCCCGGGGACTCCTCTCGGTGGGCCTGTTGTTCCCCGTGACCTCATACCACGCTCCCTCTGGAGAGGACAGTCCCGGGGGGTCAGCGTGGTACACTCCTGAGGAACAAACAAGGGGAGATAAGTTCATTTTTTCCAAAAAGTGATTTAAATCTCAAAATAGAGGCCGCTTCATTTTCTTTCCGTTGACACATTTTGAAGCTCTTATTTGTACTCATTGAATTCATATTTTTTTAATCTTATAGTTGCTTTTCTATATATCTTAAGGTACCAAATCTGCCATGCTCCACTTTGGGGAAATTAGTTTAAAATGATGCACACATGTTTCACTCCAGTTAAACATAAAGCTTCCATGAAGAGCTTGGAAACTGAAACACAACATATACTGTAAATGTAAGATGGGGAACAAATGACGTTTTTAACTTCCATATTATAGAAGGACATAAATAAAGGAAACTGTGTGTTAAGGGAATGTGGAGAATGCCTCTATGGACGTCTCAAACATAAGTAAACAAACTCCTGCCTCTCCTCTTCGCACTCTCATAAGTACATAAACAAACCCCCGGTGGGTGCCATGTGGCGATCCTGTTGGTCAGTGCCCCCCCCCCCCCCCCCACTCTTCCAGTGACAACAGAGCGTCCTAATTTCTCTTTTCACAGCGGAGGGTGAAAGCATGCTTCACATTCTTCACACCAGCAGATCCAGGACCAGGCATGTGAGGCCGGGCTGACGTGGGTGTTGTGTCTATATTTCTGTCACACGGTGGCCCTGTGTTCTGATGCTACATAATCTGTAACCAAGAGCTTTTATTGGTTATTATGGACTAACGGTTCAATTACTGCCACTCAGATTGTGTTAAATGGTCTGTAGATCAACACAAGTGAGACTTATTATGCAATTCAATACAGCTCATTCACTCTTTTGAACTGGAAATACACATTTGTAAGGTTAAGGGTTGTCTGCCACAGAAAATAGCTACAAGTTCTGGCACAAACCAGGTAAAAACAAACCCAGATGCTTCAGAGAAAACCTTTAAAAAAACACAACACACTGCCCATAAAGCTGCAAATGGCTCCAACAACTACCGGACACTGAAATGTCAATGTATTCCCCCGGTATCTTCAAAGAGGGTATTATAAATTAACACAATATTTATAACATTAATTACAAGTAAAACCAACAAAAATATGACGCAGAACCATAGGAAACTTTGAAGCTATAGTTGATCATTAGTTATGTTAGCTAGTTTAGTGTACCGACTGATACATACATAATATGACTTACAAATAATATTTTACTTTAGTATTAGCAGATTCAAGACATATTTATTTACTTACCATACACGGATTTCAGCTTCATGAAGCTTATTTGTAACTGGAAAACAATAACTAGTCCTGTGAGGAGATGACATGTGTTGGTCAGAGTCATCGCCATCCTGCCCCTCAGCTCGTAACGCATGTTAAATGCTCAAACATTTAATTTGAAGCAATGAGTTTGCGCTTCTGACAGGGAAAGTCCAAAATTGCGATTTGTGAAGTTGAAAAAAAGTGCCCACTCGTTTTATGAGAAAAAGTAAAAGAAAATGATGACTTAATCTAAACTAACGGTACATTTGCGCCATGTTTATGATAGAGGTTTGGATTATCCGCAGATCATCTGTGAGTCAATTCAGTCTCAGGAATAAAACACCGCTGCTCGGTGATGAGAGCCTGGACCAAACGGTGCCTTCAAGTGCAGTGGGAATCTTCACTTTTCATTATCAACCCAAAACCTTTTTTTCTACTACCTTTGAAAAGCGACTTTGAGCACCTGTAAAAGCGCTTACAAAATAAATGTATTATTATTAAAGCAGTTGTGGAGGATTTTTTTTACTTAAAAGGCTTTATGCTCGGTTATGACTTTTTTGAAGACATTGTTTACAAGAGCACAAGATTGTTTATTCTCCAGTCTCTTAATTCTCACTATTTCTAGATTTGTGCATTTACTTTGAAATGCAAGAATTTATTACATTTTGCACAATGAATTGTTTGGATATTTGAAAAGGGGTTTGTCATAATGTAAAATGCAAATTGCCATACTTAAAAACACATTTTAACCCTCGCCACCTTATATGATTCTGTTTTCTTCAAGGTTGTGTCTTCCTGGTCGAATGTACTTATTGTAAGTCGCTTTGGATAAAAGCGTCAGCTAAATGCAATGTAATGGCAAAACATGAAAATCGGTTCATTGTTTGTAGCGAATCCTATTTTGAAACGCTTGCCTACAGGAGGCTTTAAAACTAAAGATTACAGGGAGCAAGTGAAGGCACCAGCATGTAGGTCTCTAATGTATTCACAGGTTTCCACACTAGATGGCCTCAGACACAACCATCCTTTATAACTAGACACGTGAAGCCATTTGATTACAAATAATTTCGTTATATCTTAGGGAGGAGCTTTTTTGAGAATGCTGTGGGCCATCGTCAGTACACTGTTAAATAATTAAACTTAAAAAACACAACATATTTAGTACTCGGGAAGAGAGGAATGTACATGTTATTCTTTATCAGCTATACATTTACACATCCTTAACTTACTTGGGGATAACTCTAAACGTTTTCAAAGGAAAGATCAATTGGACAACTCAGATTGTTTTCATATATTTTAATGCAAGAATGCAATACCCCAGAAAAACATTTCTAATGGATGACACAATAAAATAAACTTTAAGCATGACAACACAAGGACACTTGATAGTGTTAGGGTCAGGTTTCAAAATGTAATATGGTCAAAAGGCAACACAAGGAGGGATGAAAAATGAAAACACAAGCCGTTTTTTGTCTGCAAGCGCTTCTTAACATTGTGTCAAAGTTTCGAGCCGTCAAATCAATACATCTGATGGAGGGATACATTAATGCAAAAAAAAGGGAACAAATAAGCTCTTCATTAAAAGTTCTTTCAAGTGCATTTATTTAAAATTAATCATTCCACTACTTCCGAGACATTATATTAAAATATTTGTTATGCTGATTCAGTAGTTATATTCTTGTTTATGGCACATGCAAAAAAACAACACAGTAGTCTTTCTAATCAATGTTTCATTGTCTTTTGCCGGCGTTACATTATGTATGTGATGTGCTTTAAGATTTATCATACAAATGTAAAAATGGAGGCCACATGAATCCTGGGAGAAAAAGGCATATTTCTCAAAATGATGTACTGGGTCATGTTTTTCAAGGTGTCAATTATGCACCATCAATACTGCCGACATTAGTCTAATTAGTCTCCATCATCAAGATATCAAAAGGATGTCTACAATGATTAATACATGTTTATAAATGCTATTGACAGCACCTTTAATCAACAGTTATTTGTGATGGATGTTGGTGGAATAAGTAACTGAAGATCAACCTTCAACTTCAGCTGATACTCAGCAGCTCCACCTCAAAGATGAGAGTGGAATTTCCTGGGATGACGGGCGGGAATCCTCTCGCTCCGTACGCGTAGTCCGACGAGCACGTCAACCGGGCCATCTGGCCGACGCTCATCTGTCAAATAAAGGAAGAGCGAGTTACATAAAAGTTATCAATATGGTCTGATGTAAAATGGGTGATTCGTATATTTGTCATCTCTGTTGAGGAACCTAAAGCTCCAAAAACACTGCATTCTAAAATTCCCACAGTGCAAATCAATTATTTGGTTAACCCCCATGACTGAATCACGTCTTTTCCTTTTCTGCCCCCATTTTGTTAGTTGTGCTTTGACTGGAAAGCTACTTCAGTCCCAGAACACATTCAACCATTTGCACTGCAGGGCTGGGCAGTTCATATAAAATTAATTTGTGGCGGCTTGCAAAAAAAAGAAAGAAAAAAGGGTTATGCTCAGTTACAAATAATATGTGGGTGATATTTGGCAATATCAGCTGTTATGAATACATGAATAGTTAAACCGTGGCACCTGCTGCAGATTACAGGCTGTCACATGTGTAGCCAACACTTTCTCTTAGCAAATGTAATGGCCCAAAAGAAGACCGCAAACTGAGCAGAGTGCTGCTGAGCTTGTGTTTATAAGGAGATATTATATCTGGTAAGGTGGAAGTTGACAGATAGAGAGCAGGTTTTACTGTGTTCAGTTAGTGTCTACTTGCTGGGTAGCTAACACGAGCAGTCTGCAGATATCAGAATGATTAAGAGCAGAAACAGCTGAATCAATGAGCTGACTTTTCTGCTTTCAGCTATGTTACAACTGATTTAACCATAAAGGATGTCAGTGGTCAGTTTGAAAAACCTTAGGCAACAACAGTTCACAGCTGTATGGAATAACCCATGTCTTAATAGGAATTACCATGACATGAAGAGCAGGTGGCACAGGTGTATAGCTTAAATGCCTTGCAATTGTAGACAAATATTGCATTTCAGCAATGTTGTAAATGATATTAAAATATAAATAGTTTGCCATTTTGGCCAGCCCCATTACAGGGCCTACCCAAAAGATGAGTGAACCATCATGAAGAGTGACATGTGTGAAGGTCTCCTCTGCCTCACCTGAGCTACACCCTCATCCCAGGCTCGGATGACCTGTCCTTGTCCAATCTTGAATTTGAAGGGCTGTCCTCGGTCCCTGGAGGAGTCAAACTTGTTTCCATTTGTCAGCGTGCCTGTAACAGGAAAAACAACACTTGTTAACATTATTACTTATTTTGCAAAGTCAGCACCAAGGAGTCTGCGTATTGAGTACTTTTAATCTCGGCACTTTGAGTATATTTTGATGCGGATACCTTTTGTACTTGAATAACATTTGCCATTCAGCACTTTTACTTGTAACTAAGTATTCGCACGTTGTGGTATTTCTGCTTTAACTCAAGTAAACGAGAGTACTTCTTCTTCCTTCATTCGCTCGGTGTGCTTTATTTTTCAATTGCATTCATTTAAATTTAAAACAGGTAAAGGAATGTTTTTTGAATGTAATATATATATATATGTAGCTAAACATACAGCACGGTTAGCTTATGTTAGCCTAATGACGGGGAATCAAAGGTAAGCGATACTGTTAGCTATTAATAATCGCAGAGATTTAACAAACGATATATGAAGTATTAAATGACCAACATGTGGATTTCAGATTAGCATTCTTAACTATTGACAGAGCTAGGCTAGTTGTTTGCCTGTTTCCAGTCCTTGTGCTAAGCTAAGCGTGTTCATGCTAATATTTCCGTAAGAGACATGCAAGCGTCACCGACCCACTGACTCAACCCAAAGCCAGTACGCCATTTCCACGATCTGAAGCTACACCAGCTGTTTGAGATTGTAATCGACCACAGGTTGATTTGTAAACGGGTTATATTAGCTATCATAAATAAAAGATTCACCAATTGAACAACCTATGACCGATCATTTTTGAATCAACGTTAGATCTTACCAACGTAGTGCACGAACACAGTCTGTCCCTTTTGTGGAAAGGTTCTTCCTGAAATGAGACACAATAAAAGGTGGTTGAAAAAAACCGAGTGAAATATATTTATTTTGTTGGGTAAATGAATAAAAATGCTACAATTCTTACCGTCTCCTGGTCTAAGGGTTTCTACTTCTACTCCCATTGTTCTTTTTTCCAAGTCGTCTTCCCCCCGCTCACCGGCTTCCTGGACGAGCCCTCTATGTTCAGTCACACGCAACCTGATTGGTGCGTTCTCTGTTGGACTGTACCATTTCTGACGTGGGTGAGAGGGCATGCGGGCGTTTTTTTTGCTTTTAATTCTTGTGTGTGTGATAAAACATCCATGGTGTGTAAGTGGTTGTCAGAGCGTGAACAATGTGCGAGGAAGGTGTGTCTTTGAATCAAAACATAAATTATAAAAGGCACCTGGGGCGTTAGTTATACTAACGGCCCGTCCACACAGCAGCTTTGAAAAAATCTTGAAAATCTTGGAGCTGGGCGTGTCTGAGAGCTTGGGGATTTTTTGCGAGCAACGCGACCAACAACCAATCACATGAATCTCCCGCCCCCGACATACAAAGCAAAAAACCCCGGGGATTTTATGCGAGCAATATATATAAACTCCCCAAACAGGCGAAAACCTACCAGTTTCACCCACTGTCTCTGCCACCTCCCTCCATGCCTGGTTCCTCCGGTTTGTATCTCGGTAAATAGTTCTGGTCGTAAAGAACCGGGTGATTTGCTACCGTAATTTCTCGTTTGGAATATGAGGAAATGAACTGCGGCCCAGTTTGCACGCGGTTTGATTGGCTAGCGCTTGTACTGTCAGATTTGCATAAACGGGATTTGATTGGATGACGCTTCCAGCTCAGCTTCAAAAATTGAACATTGCTAAACTTTTGAATCCTGAAAATCCTGGAAATCTTCGCTTTTTTTTAAAGCTGCTGTGTGGAAGGGAAACAGCGGAACTGTGGTGTCATCTACGTTTGTTTGTATTACTGAGAATGTCAATTAAAGCGTATCGCATGACAATTAATAAATTATACGTTGTATCTGCATTGCATATTACCATTACTGTTGAATATTGAAAAATCGTATACAATATATTGAATTACAGCAAAAGCAGAGCCTCTTGCGCCCCCCCCCCCCCCCCCTCAAAAGAAGATGCAAATGGTTTGTTCCACACCCACTGCAGACAGTTGTGGAATGTAACGTAAAGGACAACTGCGCCCATTTTTTAAAGTATAGGTTC